GAGAAACATCATTAAATTAAAAAGAAAAAATTTTCAAAGAATCGTCAAGAAGCTGATTCGCCCACTCGATCATCATCGTCATCATTCGGTGGATTAAGTCGTTGTTCGACATCCCTTATATGTTCGTCGATTTCGCCGATTTCAGTACTCTTCTTTTTTTCCTCCGTTATTTCATATCGTCGGTACATTTTTTTAGACCATTCATAGTGCTGACAAGCACTATAAAGATGTTCTTCATTAGCTAGACGTTTTCCTTCGGCAAAAAAATAATGACCAATATCCAGTAGCATGCGAGCCAATAAATCGTCTTGATGATCAAACATTAAAACATGATCTAGGTATTGAAGTGCCCAAGTATTAGTTGGCGGCTCAGCACCTTTAACGTATACCATATTCATATTGGCACAAAATATATACATCCAATGTCCTACTACAAAAGTTTCCGGAAAATTTGCGACGAGACTTGGTACAATAATTCTTCCTTTTGAACCTGAGCTGATAAAAAAGATACATTTTTTACGATTTTTTTCGATAGTAAGGAAACATTTTTCAACATCTTCGAAAGCTTGAAACATGAATTCAACATCATCGAGTTTTACGAGAAGGTGAGCTTCTAGATTAATACTACGGTCAATATCATCTTTGTCAAGATTTCTTTCATACGAGCGAGTGGTCGGATCCATCGCCAAGAAAAAAGAACTTTTTAACAGAACACACTCGCCAGGTTTTCCAATATGTTTATCCAGCCAAATAATAAAATGGTTCGGTTCACTATATCCATTTACATTGCCAGGCATTGCTACATGCATGTCAGGTTGTGCCATCGTTGATCTAGAATGAAAATAATGTCGTATAACAATATTTTCTGATTGCTATATAATCAATTTAATCGGTTCTTTCCATTAATACACTTAGCTTTAAAGAAAAAAGAAAATCACTTAAATCTATCTGTTATTTGACAGGAAAAAGAAGTCTAAAGCAGAAAGATTTCTATATTACTAATAAGCTGCTCTAGATTTATTTATTTGTTACAAGAATAACTCTCGAAAATTATCAAAATCATTCTTTAAAAGTCATGCATTATTTTACTACTTCGAGCTGAAAATTTGACAATACAATAGGCATATTGCTACTCAAAGTTTTCAGAAAAAAGAACTGTTGTAAATTAATAATGAATGCTACAATGAATTGTCCTAGGAAAGCAATCTAACATGATACTTGTTTCAAAAAAATCCATAATGACGAAACAAAACAAACAACAACGCTCAGTACTCTGATTGAATATCTCAACAAATAAATAAAAAAAAAGCCAAGATCAAAAATCAACACGATCGTTTTAGATGTTTGTTTTTCGTCGTTTGCTAGGCGCAGTATTACGACTGTATTTCTTTAGATTGTTAATGGTCATAAACAATCGGATACTCGATTTTCAGACCCTTTTATGACCATTATCAACTATTCATGGCATGATAAAATACAGTCGAAATATGGCACCTACCAAACCTTAATTTACAGCTATTTAAATTAGTAAGCTGTGTGAAACGACAGTATACAATACCATATTTCTCTATGTCAGTGACTGTAATCATTGTCTGAGAAAATTCTTACTACATAACCAATAGTTATGCATACAAAATTCAAATTTTTTATGAGAAGGAAAACTACAATTGACATGAGAAATACTGCCGAATAACGGTATCTATATGAATAAACGTTGGTTTTTTCACAGTATTGCATGTTACAGCAATAGTATGACGATGTAAAGAAGAACAAAAAAAAGCGCCAAACACGTTATTTTTTTTTCTTCCTACAATTTCTGCTTTTTTAATTTTGCTTACGTCGAAAGAAAGAAACAAGTACAATAAACGCCGCGTAATGGTCGTCAGTGATATTTTTTCTCGAGTAGTGCATCTTACTGAGAGCAACCTTATAAATTCATTCACCAATCATATACGACTAAAAGATATTCTGTCGTCATATTATTTATTAGTATCGTATAAAATTATTAAGCAAATCTTTTTTTTACAAATTTCTAATCTTTGATTTCATATACATAGATGACACTACATAATTTTAAAATATTCTAATGAAAAATGCGATGTTGTGACGATAATCACACAAGGATGCGCATCCCCTTCTCTTATTTTGAGAGAGTTTTCAATAAAAAAATCGTAAAAAAGAAAGAAATTTTGTATAGCATTCCTTTCTAAATATTTTATATGTACCTTCCCCCCTAATCTCAGGGTATTTTTCATGTGACCACTATCTTTATGACTCTGTTGACTTAAACAGGTATCTGCCAACGATTTCGTGTTTTTTTTTGCAATGCTGGACGAATGAAAACAAAAGCAAATATTTTATCTAACATTGCACAATTAATGGATATTTCACAAAGATATACTTGTGAATTTCCCTGTGTTGTGCAATATTGCATTTTATATATAGTAAGAGGAACTTTATGTGACTGAAACATAAGGCATCACTTTCTTAACAACTGTAAGTATAGAACTTTTGTTTTTAAATATAACGAATTTTTCAGAATATAAAATTTCTTTCATTCAATACACTATAAAAAACTAAAAGCAAACTAAAAAATATGATTAGTGTTTCTACGTAGCAACAAGCAAGCATATTTCTTAAATCACTTTTAATTCACTTAGTGTGTTTCCAGCTTCTATATGTTTAATATAAATAAATTGCTCGAATCGAAAACTTATTCTCAAATATATACACAGAAAAAATTTTAACGACAGAAGTTTTTTAATAACTAGAGAATAGAGATATAATTACAGCTTGATTCATTTTCTCTCAGAAAGAATTTCTATCATAAGAAAAAGTATTCGTAGCAAGTTGAAGTTGTCGAAAGTCACAAATATTGTTATTTTCCATATCGTACCTGTATTTGCTCTACGACTGGTATAACCGCAGTCGATTGCCAGTCAGAGAATAATTGAAGGTATTCTACAGTAGAATGATAACCAGAGGATTGACTGATAGTATACCTATGGTTTTTGTCTAATTCGAATCGCATGAACTGATATACACGAATAATAATGATGATTTACTCTTTTTATTGTGTCATGTTCTGTTATATGCCGTTGATATGCAAATAAAACTTTAGGCTATTACATTATTTAGATATAATAGTCAGAACTAGGGTGTAGGTATGAATGCATTCATATCCTTGTTAATAGTGGTAGACCCTAATAGGAACTTCTGTAAATGTTAATTGTATTTCTTCAAAATATATTTGAATAGATAGTCAAAAACCATTCGTTTCATATAAATTTCATGAAATCAATATCAATCAATGTAGATCTAGTGTCGAGTTGATATAAAATCTAAACCATTATTAGGTTCACCTTTATTTCTGATAGCATCTGAGAGAATCAATCGGTCAGAAAAATAATAGTAAAAGTTTTCTTTGTTTTATTACTCTGTATAAAGTTGCTCATTATTTGAAGAAAATATAGAACAAGAGTATATTTGAATGAAAGATATTCTTACTAAAAAGAAAAATATTAATGAATATACATTAATTTGAATAATTTTCTTTTAATAAAATTAGATTTGAACTTTGAAAACCATTCTTGAGTTTTCTCAAGATATGGCTACATATTTCAAAACTCCATTCACTATCGGTAGTGAATATCATTACGTAGAAGTAAAAGTACCAAAAATTGATTCATCATCTGGTAACAATATAATATGTTGTGTTGATACATCAGGTTCAATGAGTGGTAGTCCTATTCGTAATGTTTGTGAAGTATTACGTGATATTTATCAACGTACACAAATTGAATATCCATTATTTACTTATAATACAAAAGCAGATATAACAAAAACAATAAAATCAGTTGAAAGACAAGATTTACAAGCAGGTGGTGGTACTAGTTTTAGTTCAGTCTTTACTGCTATTCAAAATTATTTAGTTAATAATCAAAAATCAACAACATTCATTTTTATGACTGATGGTCAAGATACAGATTCACAAGACGCATTAAAACGAGCTATTCAAATGTTAAAATTAACTATTAGTGGATTATCAAAATCAATTACAGTTGTTTTTCATGTTATTGGTTTTGGTGAAGTGAATAATAATTTTTTAAATCAAGTAAGACAATTTGGTAATAAAGAAGGTTTATTTCGATATTCAACTGAATCAGCTGAATTACAAAATAATTTCAATGATATGTTTGAATATGCAATGTCAGCTAGAGAATTTACAATTGTTATTAATGGACAATCATATACATCAAGTAGTAATGAAGAAACTGTTGGATTTTTAATTGATAATATTACAATTGATAATACAATAACTAAAGAAATTATACTTAAATCATCTGATGGTGAATCAAAAATTCCATTAGAACTTATGCAACCTATTCGTCCAATTCATATTGTACGAGCATTAAATTTAGTATCTCCAGATAATGAAACATCTGTTCATCAAATTCGTACATATTTAAATTCAATTGTTCCAACAGCAAGTGCTGATCTTATGGAAAAATTAGAATTAGAACAAATTAAAAAAGAAATTGATGAACGAATGATGGAATATACAAGATTATTTACACAAATTAAAATGGGACAAGTACCAGAACAGGTCAAATTAAGATTAAGTGCATTAAGACATGATGCTACATTTGCTAATGCACAAAGACGTAAAAAATTAGATTTACGTATTAGTAAAAATGTTGATTATTTTCGTCGAACAGATATTAGTGGAATATTAGATGGTTATAAAAAAAGTATTGATCAAGATGGTTGGAATAAAATAAAAGAACAAAAATCTGATTGGGTTTGTACATATTCTAATGATGATATATATGAAATGATGAGAAAAACTCCAGATAATATAATGTGTTTAGGAATATTAATTGAACGTAATGAACAAGCTATTACATCACCAACAAAAGGATTAAAATTAATTAATGTATCAAATACAATAATTTCATATGATTCATTTATTGCTGCAATGACTTTATCAAAAAATTTACAACAACAACAACAGCAACAAACAGATGGAACTAATTATGGACAATTTTCTGGAATTAATGATACTTATTGTATAGTTGGTCAATTACATGAAAAAATTAATGCTGCTATACCACTTTATATTAATTATGAACATATGAAACGTATACGAATTTTAGAAGGAATTTGGTTAGGATATATGTTTACTTTAGATTCCTATGGTTATGATAGAGACCAAGAAATTGGTTTACTTAAATTACTCTATGATATGATTATATTACAAACTGGTACAGCAAGAAATAAACAATTCATAACTGAATTTGAAAAAGTCTGTCATTTTATTATTACTGAATCAATCGGTTTTAAAAGTTCTTATGGAGAAAAAACATATGATAATTTTATTAACAGTATTCATGGACGACAAAATGGAAAATATGATTTAAGTATTCCATTGATTATTGGATATTTAAAAAGTGATTTAAAAAATATCTTAATGCCTGTATATTATGAATATCTTCGACAATGTTTACATAAAAAAATGCCTATTGATAAAACTAATATTATCGAACGATTATTATATGGTGATGAAAGTCAAAGAGTTAAAACAGTAGCAAGTAATAAGGATAATACAATTAGTATTGATATAAATCAACAAGATCCTGATTATGTTGAACAAAGTTTTATTCAATACTTTCATGATGAAATGTGTCAACCAATTGAATTAATTCCAGAAACAACAACTGGTGAAGATAGAAAATTAATCATTCATGAAGCTGATATTGAATATATTAAAAATATTTTACAATCTATTGATAGTCAACTTAATTTAAATGTTCCTATTGTTATT